CGTCAAACAACATATCTCCGTGATCCTTAGACCTTCATCTACACTCGTAGTAAGGTTTCGGAATCGACCGGAGGGAACTTCAGGACTAAGACCTGACATTTTGAAAACCACGCACACGAGTCAGAGCTCTGGGAAAATATTCTACACTCTCGCACATGCGCACTACTGATCATTACTCAACAGAAATTGGTGCGCCTGTGATTGGTCCAAAAGAGACGTGATATGTATCCTTCCACGTGATTAGTCCAAAAAGAGTCGTGATACGGTTATGTATCCTTCCACCTACCGAATCTAATCTTAAAACGTTCAAACCGTGTATACCTAACCCTAACCCTAACCCTAACCCTAACCCTAACCCTAACCCTAACCCTAACCCTAACCCTAACCCTAACCCTAACCCTAACCCTAACCCTTCCGGTCAGAAGTTCAAAACTGCAAACCAAATGTCGATATTCTTTCTCGTTGCCGAGATATTGCTATTTAAAGTTAACCCTAACCCTAACCCTAACCCCCCTCAAAACCCTAACCCTAACACCTCCTCAAAACAGGGAAACCATGGTATCATTGGAAAGCCCTTCCGGTCAGAAGTTCAAAACTGCAAACCAAATGTCGATATTCCTTCTCGTTGCCGAGATATTGCTATTTAAAGTTAACCCTAACCCTAACCCTAACCCCCCTCAAAACCCTAACCCTAACACCTCCTCAAAACAGGGAAACCATGGTATCATTGGAAAGCCCTTCCGGTCAGAAGTTCAAAACTGCAAACCAAATGTCGATATTCCTTCTCGTTGCCGAGATATTGCTATTTAAAGTTAACCCTAACCCTAACCCCCCTCAAAACCCTAACCCTAACACCTCCTCAAAACAGGGAAACCATGGTATCATTGGAAAGCCCTTCCGGTCAGAAGTTCAAAACTGCAAACCAAATGTCGATATTCTTTCTCGTTGCCGAGATATTGCTATTTAAAGTTAACCCTAACCCTAACCCTAACCCCCCTCAAAACCCTAACCCTAACACCTCCTCAAAACAGGGAAACCATGGTATCATTGGAAAGCCCTTCCGGTCAGAAGTTCAAAACTGCAAACCAAATGTCGATATTCCTTCTCGTTGCCGAGATATTGCTATTTAAAGTTAAACCCCGGGGATCCGCTAGCTGCTCGCGGATTTAATGGGTTTTTAATTAGTCCAAGCCGGGGCCCTGCTTCAAGCTGCCCTGGCCTGCTCCAGCCCGTCCTAGCCTGCGTCCCCCGTGGAGTGGGGATTACCGCCCCCCTGTTGTTAATCGACCGTGAAATTATTGTAAACAATCTTTCTGGAGTGGGCCGGCCTTCTTCCCCAGTAAACAAAAACTGGCATAAAGCTCTACAATCGTTGAAAAACTATCAGTTTATCCCAAACACAACAGTACACAAGCCTATAAGGCATGTTACAAGTTATCTAGAAGCATATGTTTGAGAGTTTTTCGTATATACACATGGAATCGCATTCAAGTAAGTTCAAAGCGCCAGTCAAAACATCGCATTTCCCTTCGACCAAGAACATTATACCGCTTGGACTGAACAGAGAGAATTGCGCTAAATGGGCACCAAAAACCTCTTTATTTTCCTCGAACTGTCACATGGCAGCTGCAAGGTTAGATGCGGTACAGTTCTTCTGTTATTTACTGCACGCACCGCTGTTCCCTCTAGCGACCAAGCCCGCCATCTTGGAATAGTCAGCTGACGTTAGCGCACGCAAGCAAACGCACCGAATGGGAAAGAAATATACTTATTTACGAATATGCAATTTTCTTCGTCTAGATTATCTGTAAAATTGCAACCAAGAGCAATGATTTTTACATTTTCAATCTAAATAGTATGTCTATAATGATCTTTCTAGGTTGTCCATACATTGGTGATTGATTCTTTGCGCTGTGTTGCGGACCATCGTGGTCACGTGCTTCCAGCACTTTTTAGGCCAAGAATCTGAAAACCTTTGCAACGCAACTCACCAGAAAACACATCGAATTACGGCTGAAATCGCCCTGTTGCGACGTCTAAACCAACAGTGATCTATCTGTACAGAATTTCTGAAGATCTAGGAAGCCTACGTGGTCCTAGGATGACACCGATGTGATCGATGGCGTGGCGTAAACAAGATGCTTGGTCAGGTATATCAGTTCTTCGGGGTGGCATGGTACCATTGCGCCATTTTTTCCCCCTTGTTCGATCAGTTCATTTATTACCAGGAGGCTTTTTGCTGGCGGTAGTCATACAACTGACTTGCGCGTAAAATAAAAATGACCACGACACTATTGTACGGGCGCAAATATTTCGTCATTTGGACACAAACCGTTCAAGGAAATACGTGCCATATGAAAATCTCGAGAACACCGCCACAGAAAAACAACAACAAAGGGCAAAACGTTCGGATAATACATGTACATGTAACGTTAGTAGTGTTGGCTTTGCTATTTCGAGAATGCAGATAGAGGATACATACTTCAAGGATAGAGATGTGTTGCGTTCTACACGGTAAGTAGTATTTATCAAGACGATGGAAGGTCACACTGCCATGGGTAAAGATATGTTTAAACTTCGTGTAACACAATTTATGCTGGAGTTTTTTTTAAAATACAGTCTGTATCGACACTCAAAAAGCTAGGCTACATTTAGTCAAAGTAGTCAACTTATAGTCAAAGCTACCTACATTGAATGTCAGTATATACTAGTATATGTATACATCAGTTGTATACGGTACATGTATAGCAATGTTTTGTGGCCTTTATAGGAAAACACATGGTACTGGGGTGATGCTTTACAATCAACAAGAGGTTTGCTAACAGTCCGTTGCTATTGGTACTCTAACTACTGGGCAACTCTAACTCTAAAGCTAATACTAACAGTGCACAATCACAATACCTTTTCCTAATTCAAAAACACTAACATACCCTCATACAGATATACAGTACCGTGTTGCATTTGTAAAGATTAAAGGTTAGAAACAACAACAAACCACATGGTGGGGATAGAAAATATTGAATTTTCTGAATTTATAGAAATGAAGTTCACATTGCAAAAAAAATCTGCTCAAGGCCCCTGACTAGACTAGTAAAGAGAGTTTAGATCCTCCAGGCAGCCGCCATGAAGTTCTCCCACAGGACTTTCCTGAAGTTGTAGTCCTTTCGCACCAAGTTGGCCTTGGGCTGCTGTCGCCTGGGTGCCGCCGCATCTTCAGCCTCCCAGTACGATGTGGCTCCCCTGTCCACGTGTTCATTCTGTAAAAAGAAACATGATTCATCTAATAACATAAAGTTATACGAAAAGTTTTACGAAAATTGAAACTCACGTGGAGAACAGTTGTATGCCATGCATTGATAAGCAGTTTCTCCATGCTTCTACACACAAATAATGTGTGTATTGAAAGAACAGCAAAGAAGAATTAATTTACCCAGTCCAGTGTTGCCAAGTTCATCCTCATCTTGTAGTTGTCGATTTGGAAGCCCACCCTTTTGTCGACATAGATCAGCACTGCATTGTTATAGGACTCACAATAGTGGGTGTCCTTGGCCTAGTGTCAGGATGAAGAGATGGGATAGTGATTAGTAAAATGTGCCATTGTGGGGTCGTGTGGCGTAGCGGCAGAGTGCGCGACTCGGAACTGACATGTCACCGATCTTGTGCCCTTGGGAAAGGCACTTTACACGACTTTCCTCACTTAGCTCAGGTGCAAATTAGTATTGTCCTTTCATGTGGTGGCGGCACATAAGTTGATAAAAATTGAGTGTGCCGTCACCACATCTGGTGATTACATGTTGGAATAAAAAAAAAACAAGGGTCATTTTCTCAAATATCTGCAGTGACAACCCCCCATAGTAGTGTATTTGTCGGTCAAGCTGAAAGTTTCAAGTCATATACATATGGTACTATCCAAGTACCCGAATGCAGCATGAACTTACATAAACATAGTTCTCAGGGTTCTTGTAAACTACAGTTTTGTGTATAAAGTTGATGAGTAGTTTTTCCGCATGTGGGTCTGTGATGATGGTCCTGGATGGTGTGTATGAGTCGTCAGTCTTGCATCTGGATGTGGGTGCGCAGTCGCTGTGGTCATTCTGAAATACAAGAAATACATGTAGCAAATCTGCTTATTTCCACAGTGTCTGTTTATTGAAGGAAGGGGTACAATATATATAAGGCGTTGAGGGATGATAACCGGGTGTCTGAAGGATTAGAATTAATTCCTCATGTATGTGAACTCATGTAGAGTGACAAAGGTTCTCGAGAAAGTCGTAGTAAAGATAATGCAAAAGTTACTACAGCAATATATGAAGACAATAGGCAGATGTGATACCTTGTAGTGCTTTGGTATGGCGTCCATATACTTGATAAGCTGGTCCCTGTCCCCCCCACAGTTTTTCATCGCCCAGTAAATGTGTGTTTTCACTGGGGCGGCTGTTCGTAAAGGAATGAAGTTCAGATGAAGTATGTTCATGAAAGACATGAAAAAAATGCTTTGCAACCTAACTTACTCAAGAACATTTGATAGATATGAAAGTTATAGGCAGGCCCTTGCAAGAATTAACATACCATACTTCATTGACTCATTGTACACTGCATGATCTTACAATGTAAATGAAAATACTTATAGCACATTCGTTAAGTCATGAATTAGAATTAAAACAAAGACACGTTGAGCCCGATGTAAGAGAGACATAATAGTTACAATACCTTTGTCGCTGAGCTGGTGGTGCCACGTGGAACCCTGGTTTCTTTGTGCCCCGGACGTGATCACCCTCATCTGGCGTCCTATTGACTTAGTCGCTGTAAAGACACAGATTAGGGTATATTTCTCAACAACAACAACAAAATAAACAACACTTTTGAGTGCAGAGTGCATTGTTTGTTACTTATAAGTTTTTAACATAAACACGTTGCTTCATGTAGTACTGGCAAATTATCGCTTTGGGAAGACGAACAATCCGTAGTCTGCTGAGAAAGTGGGTTGCAAGAATGATAGCACCGTGTTTAAAAATCTCTCGGAATAGAACACCTGCATGTCACCACCCATGGTGTCGTGTTAGCGTTCGAAAACGAAGAATAGGGGCAACGGAAGTTTATGATTACATGATTTAATACAAAAAAAACGAAGCATACCGTGCCAGGTGTCGTTGCCATTTTCAGTCATCTTGCCTTGAAGGCGTCGGTCTTTGATGATTTTGTTGACTGAAGCATTGTTGTCATGTGCGTGAACGGCGATTTCAAGATCTATAAAAATATTACAAAGGTTGGCAAAAAACATTGCAAAGTTTGAAAGCTAACATAAAACTAAATTTTGCGATACCTGTTATACTTAGTCATCTGTAAAAAAAACATGATTTCTATCACCATCATCCATGTTAACTTTTTATATTGTCTTACAGGAATGACAAGGAGGACACATACTCTGTGCATCCGCCCACTCGTAGAACTTGAGTGTCCCGGCTTTCTCATGGCCTTGTGAGGAGCCGTCGTCATCTTTGGTCACTGTAATGACCCTGAGTGCCTTGTGTGTCCTGCATGATGGGGTAACAGACAGATGTCGTACAAATTAGTTTGAAACAAGATTGACTTCTCCGTTTCAACAATGTGTAGGGTACTAAAAAAATAACACAATTGGGAGGTGCTATCTATTTCTATTTTTTAAATGACACAAAAAAAACCACTTGTCTCAGCTGTCTCATGCTCCAAACTGCCGATTACATACACACATTCCTTGCCTAAATACCTTTCGCCAGCTATATAACTATAGTCTTACGAAATAAACATCCCACTGAAGTCGTTTACGGCCCTTTGGGACAAGCAAATGGACATGATATATAGAATTTCAACTCAAAGTCTGAAATATGCTCACCTATCCCCCAAAACGGCAATGTCGGAAAACCGAGCATTCCTTCGCCAGCAGTGCCGGGCGTCGCTCATGATGGATATGCCTCGGTACTCATCGCCTTCGGCCTCCCTGGTCTTCTCAATCTCCTGTAAGAGAAGTTTCACGTGTTCAGTTTAATTATTCGGGGATATGGCTTCCTGTTTTCATTACGTTCAACTAGATATATAGCAATTTTGGCTATTTCAATATGACGGCTTACCTCATTTAGCGCCCTTGCACATGAATCCGCTGTCATCGTGGCAACCTCCCCGCTGTAGATTGTTTGATCTGGAACAGTCATAAGATATGCTACTTCATGATTATCTATCATGCATCATTATGAAGGTAGTTGTGTTCTCATGCACATACAAACAAACACACACACACACACACACACACACACACACACACACACACACACACACACATAATCTACTTGCACAAAAGCTCACTGGGTGTGTAGCAATTATGGTATGTCAATCTACAGTGAGTGAGTGAATTGATTGAAATTCTAAGGTTGTATACAATCCATTGCCTGTATATCAATGGAAACAACTGTAGCGGCTTGCAAGGTGACAGTCACAATCAAAGAAACTTACAATGGCTCCTCAATGTCTTGTCTTCTATCTGCCCAATCCCCGCGGCGTCACAGATTTTCTCATATTGGATTGGTCGTATCCCAGAAGAAAAGTAGCCATGTGCCATCCTATAATGAATATGTAAATATGCAGGTGGTTGTAGTATAAGATACTACGTAGTAACGCCTTAGTAAGGATGTGGATTGCAGGTAACTATGAATAAAGAACAACACGATACTGTTGGCCCAGACTGTTCCAGCTGAAAATAAAGTAAAACTACCAGGGAAAGAGATAAAAGGTCGAGTGATGCTGTCATCAGAAGAACAACAGAGGGAATCCCAAGCCTAATCCAAATGTTCGCAGGTAGGTGTGAATTGCTTCCCATCAAGACCACTTGGGATGCGCACGTGGCGCCAAACAATTGACAACTTACTGATAATTCAAAGACAATACAAACGATATTACTGGATGAATACGGAGATAATTTCGGACATTTCAAGTGGCATCCATTACTCTTCTTCAACGTCACTAAAATGTATATTTGAATACTAGTATTGTTTACCTGGATGCGTGATCTTCAGTCTAACTTGCTCGGAGGTCTACTTATTCATAATTCTCTGTTCTCCACAGAAAGTTATTTCCTCTGACGGTGATACATCATGAACAATATGTGCGGCATCATCGTATTTATGCGTATTCAAACTTATTACGAATGCCACTGAAAGTCACAGCTGTCTCGTGGTTTAAAAAAATCATAAGAAATCTAACCTGTAGTTGACGAGGAATTTCAGGTAGAAATGGGGTGAGGAGTCCCACTGGATGTTGTGCTTCTTGGCGCACGACAGGTCCACCTTTGCCGCGTGGCCAAACATCTTCAGGCTCTTGTGGCTCAGCGCTTCCTTACAGAACTGTGCGTGTTCGCACGCCTGCTTTAGTAGACCATCAATAGCAGTAGGAGTTGCTAGGAAGATGGCCTCGTCCTTTGTCTGGAGTGTGGCGGCGGTGTACCCGCTGACAGACCTCGTTGGTTCCCCATCTAGTCTGTGGGCGTCTTCCTCCTCCTTATCCTGGAGCCAGAATGTCAATGCACGGTAGATTGCCTCCCTGTTTGTGACAACCTTCTTGTCACCCTCTGCCATCTTCTGGCAGACTAGCTTCAAGCTGAACTTGAAATCGTTCAGCTCGTCATCCGAGCCATAGATTGACATCTTGTAGGCCTTGTTGGCCTGGCCAGCAGCCACACGGTCCTTCCTCTTCTCATGCCGCTGTCGTTTCGCCTCAGGCTGCTCAGATGGCCAGGCTCGTCTTCTGTCCTCCATGGACGTGTTACCATCCTGTTCGGCCATAGGTTCCTTTGTTGAACGCGAGAAAATGGGCCGAAAGTGGAAACGAAAAAGACAGAGCAGCGCGGTACGAGTGGGACGAAATTGGCGGGAGGAAAAAGACGGTCATAAATCTCGGGGGGTCAACTGCTGACAAGTCATCCTCTTCTTTTTTTTTATAAAAAGCACAATCCTGTAAGTTTTTCTACCTAGAATTTGCGTAAAATGAGCAAACATAAGTCGTGATGATACGTTATTATTTTCGACGCGCTTCCATACCTATGGCGTCATATGTATTAGATGTATAAAATTATAGAGAGGACAGCAACACGCACACAGCCAAGGCAATAGAAACGGCAAAATAAGCAGCCAACACTAAACATTTCTACATACAATATATGGTTTGAATATTTACTTGAGCATACCTTTTTGAATTGACTATCCAATAGTCTATGTACTCAGTAGTACAAATTCACGTTTCGATGCATGTAGAAATTTTCGCGCTTTTTTTTACCTAATCACAAGCAGGAAGGTCCATGTCAGGGGTCATCAAAACAAAAACAAGGAGAGAATTGAGGAATTGTCAACTATCTCATACGCTTCATACGTATGATGTGTTGACAAAAACATGATGCAAGTATCTATACAAATCTCTTTAGTTATTTTAGTTATTGTCGATGTCATAATGACACCATTGCCTTTTACGCTTGGATGAGATACATGTGAGTTTGTACCAGGATTCCCGCCTTTTCCTGGTTCTGATCAGAGGCACTTTCCATGGGTCACGGCAAAGTATGTAAACAAGAACAAGGAGCGCATCAACCACAAGAAAAATGGAAGCTACGAAGGATGTAAAACGTTCTACATTCTATGTTTTTTTAATATTATATTTTATCTATACTTCACACAGTTTGTCGCATATTATAATCGCAAATATTCCTTATAATCGCAAAGTCCTATTTCCAGTTCTCTCTACATTTCTCTGTCATCCTAAAGTTCCCGCGTATTTCACAGTCACATCTGGTGTCACTTCAGCAGTGTTCCCGCTCTGACGGACGTACGATATTGTCAGTGTTCAAGTACTAGTGTGGTTTACGTTCTTTTGCTTCCATCGGACCGAAACAACGCGATGGACAACCAAGAGGGGGATGTACAAGACATTTGTATGAGGCTCTCCAGGACACAGATTTCCTGGATGCAGGGATTGTTCGCCCACGAGGGTTGGGGCTGGCCGCAGGTGAAGCTCCCGCCAAATTTCAAGGGAAAATTGGTGGAGGACTGCGAGGAGGAAAATGATTCAGAAGAGGACGCGTACACAAGTACGGAAGAGGACGAAGACGGTGCGGTCGCGGGTTCCAGCCGTCATGAAGACCCGCCGTCCACCACTGCAAACCCTGCTCCCATCGACAGCAGACCATCCACCGCTGATCCGGGCCTGGGACAACAGGAGAACACACCGCCCGACCCCACTCCTCCAACCGCCCATTCCGGCCCAGAGTGCCCGGAATGCTATCTGTTCCCGTGCATTACACTGCCCCATGCAAGTAACATCGGTCAGACACGAGCCCTCCTCCACCGCCGGCGCCCATTGTATAAAAACCCTGCAGTCCGGCGAGGAAAGTACAAGCGTTTCTGGGGCTTGATGAACAACAGAGGCGGCTGGAAGAAAGAAATGTACCTCCGGAAAAAAGCCCAGAAAATGACTAATGATGGATACAGCATCGTCAATCGCGACGTCATGCCGGACTGTGTGACATCTCTGGTTCGGGAATGTTATCCAAACCCGCCCGGGATCCCTTACATGGGGCACAAGTGGGTTTGAGAAGACCAAGAAACACACCGGACTGATCTAACGACAACCGCATGGACATGGACAATGATTTTGGATTATGGACTCACCTACGTTGGAGTGAAAATTATGAACACCCGTCAAAAGATATATCGCACACATGCTTGATAGCCAAGGTATGTTTTTTCTCTTTCTTTTCTTTTCTTTTATTTTATTTTACTTCTATACTTTCTTAGTTATCTTAGTAGATAACGACCACCCTCTTACCCAAAGTTATCTACTTCTACCAGCAATTTATTACATATGAATAGGGAGTCCCGGATTCATTTCTACCCTAGTATTATGTTTTGAATTTCTGCCGATGTGGTGCCGTGATTCCTTTTGTGCATTCCCAACGATGCACCATTTTCGGGGTTCAACTTGTCATACCAGATCGGCAGGCTGGCATGGCCCAAAACCACGGATTTAGCTGTCAACCTACTAGATACAGGAGGGGAAGGGCTGGCTGCCGGTTTGTTGACTTTAGCCAGATTCACCGCGGGGCGCGTCACTCAAGCATGGCCGCCGGGGAACCCCGGCCACCGGCTCTGGATCTAATTACGGTTTGAACCTTTTACCGGTTGAAACTGTATGTATA